CGAATTCACTATGAAAGAAACATAATTTCACAGTATTGACGTAGCAAACCAAATAAATTAAAACCAAATTTATAGACATGAGAAAATTACGAGCACAACAATAATAATAAACAAATGATCAAAAGTCACTTGAGAACCAACGTGTTATATACAAAGGGACAAAAAACATTACAATCATTTACCCGAAAGACAAATATATTTTCAGTTCTATTCAAGCAAAACGAGCAATTTATACGATCGAGTCTGAGGTAAAAATTCAAGAATTTACTTCAAAAGTTACTTCAAAAACCAAGGTATGTTCTTTCATGTAGAGTGCTTGAAAAAAATTTTATAGATAAGGAATTAGTGTTCACAATAAAAAATGAATGTAATGAGAAGGGAAGTATGAGAACAAATACTGGTAAATTAAAACCTGTCATCTCGGAGTGGGACCTGACTACATCAACTTCATTTGAACTGAAAAAATTTAAAAATCCTTAAACATATCTATTCCTGTTTTTGCTTCAAGTTCTAAAACTGAAAACGAACATAGTGAGGTTCTTTATTCAGCGGATGTCACGCAAGACAATTACTCCATAATTATGTACATTTAATCGTCCCTAACGCCGCACTTTAACAGGCGAAGGGCTTTCACTACTCCGTCTTCTCTTCCCTAGGGCCAAATAAACATCTTTTTCACGTTCACGCTGATTGCTCACTCTGTCCTGAAAAATGAAACATCGAAGAATTACACTCACAACACAAAAGAAATCTGAAAAAAGAACATTATGAGCTGTACCATATTCCTCGAGAACTAGTATCACGACGTAAACTTTATGTCATGGCAGACGAAGTGAAATTTTACTAAAAAATCTAAATGATTTACTAAATAAAAATTTTATGAGAATGATGTCTAATTAGCATTTTAGCGTCCTTCCATGTTCCTTCGTCAAGCCCAGAATTATTTCAGCAGTAACCCAGATCATCTTTTAAAAAAAATATGGTTAACTTAGACACATCGAAAGTTATCAAAAACATATGAAAGGTTAAAATTACATTAAAAGCTTTTAAAAACTAAAGCATGTATCCAGCGCAAATCAAAAGCAACGTCAAACAACCTTTTCAGTAACTTTACGTCGACCATCTCGACTTCTGGTCCGATGACGTCGATCTTTTTCCGCTCGCCGTTCTTCCCTTGCTCGTCGTCTTTCATCTCTCTGATGCCTTGAATGATGATGGTTACGCTTTGATGATCGATCATGTTCTGTTGATTCAGCCCGATGGTGATAATATATAGGTGAGGAGCGAAATCTGAAAATTAAAAACTGGTAGTCTTTCATGTATTTAATTTTCTGAAAATAATTTCCTTAATAAAAAATAACTCACTTCTTGGGTTCGATTGGTGATCTTGAGCGTGAACGTGAGGCTGAAGACGATGTCTGCTTAGCATTGTAGTGATCATTTTCTTTTTCCCTATCACGCTGAACTTCTTTTTCTTTTCCACTACCTAAAATACTATGATAAACTTGGAATGTGAAAAATTCCAATCAAACACAATAAAAAACACAGTCGCGCAGAAGGGAAGTCTTCAGATCTAACACCTGCTATACAATATGTTCAAAAGAAAAATTTATATACAGAAGCAAATAATTTGCACTAACCTTCTCTAGCCTTACTTTTAGCACCATTTTGTCGCTCCATTTCAGCAGCTTTGCTGGCGATTTCGCGACGTCTTTTCTCCAAAATGGCTTTCGCTCGTTCGACTTCCTTATTTGCTACGTTCTCCGTTTGTTGAGCCTTTGCAAATGCGTTACTTAGACCGATTCGTAGCTTGTTCAGTGTATCATTCAACCTTGTCCAATTTGGCGCCTGAAATTGTGTCTGCAGTAAACTCCAGTATACCAAAAAATGTAGGAAATGACTTTTAATTAAAGATATACAAATAAAGCCATTACTTACTCGTATTCGAGCATAAACCTGCAGAAGCAAAACTGAGATCGTCTGTACATCTCTATCACTTGCATCAAATGCTTCAAACCAAGGGAAGGGTTCATGCGGAAGCGGCAAGGGTTCCTGGAAATTTCGAAATCCCAAAGTGAGATTCAAGACAATGAAAAAAAAAAACATGAAGGTAAATTAGACCTAACACACTTACCGATATAGTTCTTGCTGCAAGATGAATGCAAGAGCATGCAATTGTTTCCGGCCGATACCTGAGAAATATATCCGTGCGTAACCCATCATTCATATAACTCCTAAAACTAACAATCTGACGTAAGATCAATATGAAAAGTGCATCGTAAATATTCCGAAAGTTAGAAGTTTAAAAATATAAACAGCAAAATTAGTTTGGGGAATAGTTCTCTTAGAGAAGGAATCAGATTTTTAAAACTAGCAGTTTTTAATTATATAGGAACTGCTCACCTATAACACATTAAGGTTGTTTTCCAGTACATTGCAAATTTGTAACGTTCCTTAAAAAAAAAATCTGGAGCTGATCATACCACGCAACAGTTCGTAAAAGCACAATGTCTATTTCTTAATGTTAAGCAAAACAACTGTGACATAATATTTACCATGCTTTTTGCATGAGTTCGTGATTGCCAGTAGCGCCTAGCGCATGAAGATATGCATATATAAGCTTATGTGGATGATTGACGTGTACTACAAAACCAAGCGCATTTAACAGCTTTCTTTCCGCTTTTATCACTTGATTCTTCAAATCTACGTAGCTTCGATCCAGAAGCATTGGAACATATCTACAAACAAGCAGTTAACCAAATATTGGCTCCAACGCCTATTGAATACCCATGAAAAGAAATTATATGTTGACCTTACTGTTATATGTTCCTACGAATCTAAGTTCGATTTGAGCATCTGTAAGCATCGTCAGTGATGCCTACACTATATTAAGAGTAAAGTTAAAGACACCACACATCCTTTCGGTAAGATTCTGAAAACTGGACAACATAAACAAGCAACTGACCTTCTCCTTCCTCTCAAATAATCTTCAGTAAACCACTGATTCCTATATAATTATGGTAGATTAGTGCACATCTGCAGTTTTGAATACAACCACAATATTTGCTTTTTGTACTGTCAAGAGTTGGCAGAATTAAAAAAAACAAACAAATAAACACGACATAATTAAGCTAGAAGATTTGCACATGCAAAAACAAACTTACAATATATATATATATATATATATATATGGAAATAAATCACAATTATCTTCACACTGTTACAAGGTGCAAAGTTTTATACAAGCTACATGTCAACCACCAATCCCAGCTTATTAATGATAAAAATGCTTCATAAATTTTCAGTTCTTGATCACTTCATTAAAAAAAAAAAATGAATGACATTGGAAACTTCTGTGCAGAGCGACTCTGACAGAGTGTGATTTATGATCTAAAAAGAATGAACATCAATTCTGAAGCAAAACAATTAATAAAAATGCACAACGATTATAAGAGAACAACAATTTCGTCCAATGAAGAAAAACTTAACATGTTAGACAGGATTCATATATACCTCAAATCAAATTTTATCAGTGTTCTAAAAAATACGATAGAAAAGATGAAAGAAAATTTGCAGAACATCTGCAAAATGTGCGACATTCAGGATAGACCGTACAAGAAACGCTATTAAACTAGCTCAGTTTGACGAGTAAGTTATATTTTTGCTACTAAAGAAGCAAACTCGCAATAAAGACTGATAAAAACCATACTTTTACATAACAAAATGACCTTCAACATAATTCTGTCATACTACCAATCATTGAGACTAAATAATCATGATTCCAAATTTGTAAGTCAGTGAACTAAAGTATACGCTAAACGCTAATTTCATCCTTACCCCCACTGTTTAATAAAATCAACAATCACAAATGCTGCACAATAAAATCTATACAAAACAAACAGCCAGAACACATACTTTTGAACCATTAAAACAATACTTCAAATTAAAAGATGTATTTATAAGCAACATGCATAATAATAACCTTCAAATGAAATTTAATAATGTGAAAGGTAATACAAGAATCATAATCACAAGACTGAATTACCAGACCACAAAACACCTCTCCTGCCGATTTTACAGTAGTAGGTGTGATTATCAGTTCTCTCAGTCCTAAGAGCTAATATAAATCTGAATACATTTACCGTCTGACCACTATTGATAGATTATTATTATTGATAAATGCGCAACGGTTTCCGTCCAAAATTAGCATTTAATAAAATTTTATGTATCTCCTTTCCAAATGTAGTAGCGTAATTTGGCGTTAAATTAACTTACCTGCGTATATACAAGAAAGATTTAACTGCTCTAGCCCAACACTACTGCGACAAATCAACCAGTTTTTTTTTTTTTTTTAATAATCAAATGAATATCACCAGATTCTATAGGAAATGGAATCTTTCACACTTCACTTTAGTGTTTGATTAGAAGCAACGTAAATGTAACTGAACCAAATAAAGGAGATACGAACAAAAATATCGCCAGTACTTTTCTGCCAACTCTTAACATTCATTCGATAACAGAATACAGAAAAGCAAACCTTTCTTTTCGAATGAAGGAATAAACAGACTGCTGTGGTTTTCGATAAGCGGATAACCATTACCAGAATTTACTGATGAGAATGTATAAACAATAATCTATACAGGAATTACACTTCTACAAAATTTCCCAGACATGAAATGAAAATAGCAGAGGAATAAAAGAGGTTTCTGGGAAAAGCAAAAGACATACCTCATTAATTTCCGGGCAACGCACGAAAGAATTCATGTCGCTACCCTGTCATCAAGCCAGAAAAGCTGACTGAAGTAAATCTAGCAAACAGTTCCCCATTTTTAAGATACTACATTGTCAAACGAAACGACCAGCAACTCACGCCCACAACCTTCGTAATTCAATGCTTAATTATGGGTAGATTATGTTCGAAAATTTTGGAATTACAAGGAAAACACTGAAATATTTCGCGACTGCAAACAAAAATAAGCAGTAGCTATTACCATGGTTTACTAAAAATAATTTGATAAGGAAGGCAGCAGTTGCTTGTGCCATCGTCCACTCCGTGTGCCATCAACGTGCACCAGAAGAGCAACGTGCAGCAAGCTGCACTGCACGCGTATAACGACAGCATCGAAAGAGTGTGCATATGTGCCGACTCCAGATTGATAGGTAGTCTTTGATAACACACACAGAGAATCAGTAAAAGACGAAATCCAACTTGAAGAGAGCTCCAAATGTGCTTCATTCATCTCTGTAGAATGGATGGATGTGGTGACCGTACAAGAGAGTGGGGGCACACGCATTTTTACTGCCATACGTGTATCCGCTCTGCCAGCTCTGTGTCACCTGGAGTGATTAAAAATATGACAAAATATATTTCGCAATTTTACAGTAACCCACCGTCAATTTCGGCTTTTTCATTAAAAATGCAAAAAATGGGCATGACTAATCGATGAACCCCTTTCCTCTTTCTCCCTTTTGGATTATTAGGACATGAACTAAAATACACTGTATTTGTTTAATGTACAATTATGACCATTATTTGCTCAGTGATACCCAATACTCCGAATTCCCTGAGTTATTTTATTTCATCAAAAAAGTGTACCACTAAAACCAATTCTAGAAAGCGATTTCTCAGCAGATCATAAATGACTCGCTAATTCCTTTTAATTGACAATTGATATCAATAACCTATACTGTTTTTGAACAGGCACTAAATTTTTTTGGAAAAAATTTTTCTCCTAATAAACAACACTAAATCATATTTAAAGTATAAGCTCGCACATTTCTGTCTAAATGGGCCTAAAAAAGTGATGCCTCTCAGTTGCACAGCTGATCAGTGCTACGGCTCAAAAAGTCTCAACGTCAGAACACAGATATCTATAGATATATGAGTTTCAGAACGACGAAAAAACTGCCGCCTGAAATAAGCGTCAAAAACGAAATTTTGCATAAGCATGCAAAAGAACATCCAAATCGATAAAAATCAGTTCGTACTTATTTCTTTCTTTTTTACAAAAAAAGAGAAAACAAGCGAAGTAAAGGTCACATGAAATAACGATTTGAATGCGCAAACATGACGATGCCTACAGAACAGCAAAAATACGAACTTGCTGCCGACTAATCAAAAAGCCGACATATTTCAAAAATAAGCTGAGGGAACTTTAAATAACCTCAAAAGTACCATTCTTTGTGTCAATAATGTCCATTGCATGTCCTATCGCTCCCACTCTTAAACGCGTAAATCCTGCATAATCATACATATTTTAATAAATTATAGTTGAACTTACTTCTTAGATTCATTTCGTTTGCCATGTAAATGTTCCAATCGATGGAACACATTTATGACATCACGGGGTCGACGTGGCGCCTCCTCAATCTTGCTCGCTAATAAAAGGCATGCCATTACCGTATACTAAACTTTTTAATCATTATTGCGATTGAAATAGTGCAGATCGTAAAGAAATTAATGAAAAGAATCTGATAAATCATACTTAATTTGAATAGAATGCTGTTTCGGTCTTACATGAAGCAAACGAAAATATCTTCCTACAAAAACATGTAAGTTACCCTCTTTAATCAAAACGTAACTGTTTTAACAATTTACACAAGACTACTACAGGTATAATCTTGTTAAAAAAAAAAAACAAGCATTTCAATAGGGTCCATATCAGTTGGTAGCAACATAATAGTTAGAGATTAAATAATTTCAACAGCTAAAACTGAACTGATCCAATGCTACAAACTAAATGAAGAAAGCTGACGACAAAAAATGGAGACAAACGCAGATATAATGATCTTGTTCAAAGAAGAAACTGGAGTATGTACATAATGCCTGATCAATCAAAGTTGCATTCACCGTTAAGAAGGATTTGTCCTTGGTAACAAAAAGCTTTGGTTACCAGAAAATAATGACAATTTCCGGCATGGGAAGATAGTTTTGTTGTCTTACATAAAAACATTCCTTATTTGATACAAATGAATTTAGAATTTAGGAGAAAACTCAAAACATACTTCGAAATGATGTCGAACAAACGACCTCTGGTAATAAAATCGTTGGTAAAGAATTTGTGCTGTCGCTGCTGCAACCTGAGGTATACGAAGCAGTATTGCCCCTGACTGAATTATTTCACAACCGAGATAACGCAAATCCTGGAAAAGGAAGTAACAGTTCCACTACGTGATATTAATTGAATAAATTAAGTACTAATCCACACAATGGCCAAATTTATCAGCAGCAATTACATACCAATTCAGTTTTTCGATCTAATCCATCACACAAAGATGGAGGATTTTCTAACTTAGCCATTGAATGCTCATCTAGTGTGAGAAGCCATTTATCTGCTGATATATTGATCGATGAGAAAAGCCTGGAACATAAAAAAAAATCTTTCATATTGACCGGACATGCAGCGCATAACTCATAAAATTCAACGTAGTTTTTATTAAGACATATCCTTATTAAAGTATAGTCTTATTGAATATTAAAAGTCTTGCTGATAGATCTTATTCTGGGTATATTGTTAATATCTGTATCTCAGTGAAATTCTTCTGATGAATTTTGCTTAATATTATAGCTGATGGTAGAAATCTTTTGTAGAAATATAATGGTTCGAAGTTAAATGATTGCAGTAGCTTAAACCCAAGTTCACCTTTTCTGTCCAAAACTGCTTAGCTTTATTTTTGATCCGACATCATCCACTGCTAACTGCTCTTCTTTGATATCTTTTGTGTCGCTAGTATATGAGTTCAAGTTGGTCTTTCGCTGCAAATGCTCACCAGGATTTTTTGAAGATAGTTTCGAAACTAGCGTTACCATGCTATTTTTCATCATAACCTATAATAAAGAACTGAAACTTGACAATTAGATTTTAAAGATAACTTGTGTGCAGTGGAAGATTCGACTGACAGATGGGTAGCGGAAAATAAACCTAAACTTTTGGGATGAACAAGTTAGCATAGGTAAACAAGGATGAAATGAGACAGCAGACGGAAAAAAGAATAAACCCACCGCACGATACGCAATACAATTTATAAAACGAACATCCCATCGACACAAGTTTTGAATTTATGGAAACTTCCAACACTGTCTACTGTAAGGAATATGAGAACTTTGTATCATTTAATAAATCAGTGCCTGAATGGCTAATTTGCGAGTTGCACTCATTTAAACAGAAAATGTACATAAAAGCAAATCAGTGAGTTTTTTCTGCTTTCATAACTACTTTGGAAAGCAATTTAAATGAGAACTCCGGAAAAATGAAAAACTTTTTTCGAATGAATATAAAAGAAATGAACGCAACAAATTAAAAGAATCACACCACAGTAATATGAGTTATCCAAGCGGAATTAGTATCTTTTCCGGATCGCTGTCCTTCTTTTCAAATAAATAAAAAGACATGACTACAAAGAAAAGTGATTCCGACGAAGGAAGACACAGGGAGACCGAATATGCTCGAAGAGCAGTATGTTGTCATGTCGTCAACGAGATGAACTGATATTATTTTAATGATCAAGAGTGGTCAGTAAGCAGACCAGGTGGTAATCCCGAGTCTAAACATCCCAGGTAACTCCCAGATCCCAGGAAAAGCACCAGCAAATGCCCACCAATACAACAAAAAGCATCACCATACCACACAAAAAAGCAGTAGTCAATCGATCGATACGTTTGCCTTAACCGATGGACACTCTGAGTATCGAACTCCTTGTTATAGACAGCGCGACGAAGGCGCGACTTTTAAAAGCTGGAATTGATAGTGTCAGAGTTACTATGGATACGAGGGATACTGTATCGAGTGTCTCCGTTGTCAAAACTAATTGCCTGCCATCTTTTAGTCCATATCACACTCTGAAAGTCTTATATGATTTCTTGAGGGAGTGAAGGCTTAGTTTCGTACCTTTACTTTTGCTATTTTCATAATTTCACATATCATTTGTCTGTAAGTATAAAATTCATCTCAAAATCAAAATTAAAAAGTTGAAAAAATTTCAGTAATGTTTGAAGATAAATCGGACATAAGTAATACTAACGAGTGGTATCAAAAAGTACGAATGTGTCGGCATGTACCACCGCGACGTTTACCGATCCACGGATACGATAAAGCGGAATGCTACGCGTTATCATTACGAAATGCGCAACTGCCTGGTGTAACTATTCCTCTTTCAAATACTTGGGGATAGTACTAGAAGTGTGATGAAAAATGTCACCAAAATTTCTCTTTGTTTATAGAACTTCTTTGTTTTGCAGTTAAAAATGGACAAGTCATATCGTATTCATGCCTATTTCTATGATAAACAGCGAAAATATTACTTCGGGAAACCGTTTTATGGGGGATGGTACCATTCTGACTCTGATTCCATATCTTTTGCTGAGGTAGGTAATATTTCCATTTAAAGATGTATGTGTGCGTACATTTCAGGATTTCTTTCTAATTTACTGCAATCGGATTAGCAAACCACAAATGAAAATGTTTAGTTTAAATATAAAACTGAGGGATTTAGGAATTCAAATGCTATTGATGTTCAATGTTCTGGTAATACCGATGAGATATATAATGTATAAAGATATAATGTAATGAAAAGCTATAGGTAATCTTCTTCTGGTGTCCATTTACCGATAATATCGACACAGTCGTGGAAGTGGTTGAGGGAGAACAGCGAGGAGAAAATTGGAGTCATCTATACACAGCAGCATGGACTTCGTTATCGTTGGAAAACACCAAGAATGCAACTGCCTTCCGCAGGTGTCACGAATATTTCACTCATTTGCAAGCCACGATTTTTCAGTCATCCACCATTTTGCGATGTCTTCCTACTTTAATTTTTTTATATATAATCTTTTCCAGACTACCACTATATCCAGGATCGCCGAAAGCGTTATTTTTCATGGGTTCTGAATTGAAAAAGATAAATGTTTCTTGGAAAGCAGATACCAATCTAGAAATTTGCTTAGAAACATATCAAGGAATGTACAGTGTATTGAACTTCATTCCTGAGTGGTATATGTTTGACAAGTGGGAAGATATTCCTGGGTTGCGAACATCATATCACGGTTAGATTCAATGTGAAGTTTGCTTCCATGTACTTCGAAATTTCTCCTGAATTAAAAATTTTTTTTTCTTTCTTTGAAAAAGTATTATTAAATACAGGAATTTTTAGGCGAATTTCAAGTCGTTCTTCCAGAAGCTCTGGAATGTCGAACGTTCATTTTAAGCAAGGTAAATTTGTCGTTCGGTATGGATGTCTACAAATTTGAACAAATTCTACTTCATTTGATAAATAATGACAGACTTTATCGAGCAAACAGGTCACCTGCAGACATTAATATTAAAATGATGGAGGTTCTGGAACGAAGAATCACGGTACACTCTCTGTTTTCTTTGGAGATTTTCTGATGTTAGAGGTGTCGATTTTTTCTTCAAAAAATTAAGTTAATTTTGATTTAGTATCTTGAAGAATCAGAAATATGGCAGTTTGAATTGCTTCAAGCTTTCGATTTTCGAAAAATGAATTGGAAATTGAAAACTGTTTAGATTGGAGTTCATAACGGTCTACGCTATATCGAGAAACCGCAGTGTCTACACTTTGGTTCATCGGAAAATCAAATTTGCAGTATCCCGCAAATGAAATTGAATAAGCTAATGAACAAATCAAATTTAACGTTAATTTTTGTAAAATTCTAAAATTACTGGTATTATAGTTTTAATTGCTCTCGAAATACAAAGTTGTTAAAATTTCAGATCGGAGTCGCAAAGTTTGTTTATGAATGGAAGTGTGATTTTAAATAGAATAATTCCAGATCCCCACTTTGCCATCGTCTTCTCACTGGACTATCTTGTCGGAGTTTATTCATGTGATGTTAGTACTTATTATTGAAATTATAATATAAACTTTGATAAACTATTTCAGTGATAATTCAGATAAATTCCATTTTCAGGGTACAATACATTCATCGCAGTCAGTGATGGTCTGCTGGGGTGCTTGGTGTCCCTTCGCTGTAGATATTGTTCCTAATGGTGAGATTACCGTCCCTTTACTCGGAGGTATTATTTGTTCAGTTTTATCATCTCTCTAATTTCATTTTTTCAAATAAATTTATCACATAGCACGAATAAAGGTGTGAGCTTCTCACTCCTCTCTTCCGCATAAAATACTGATTTTCAAAGAAGGAATATTCTTCCTCTCTTGCTAATGTATTGTTTTCTTCATAAAAAAAAAAAATTGGAAAATCTATTTAGGACCAAACATTAATCCGGATGAACGTTTGGCATTTAAAAACTCACTTGCTTTTCGTTCTGATTTGCCTTTTTGCAATCAGTTGCCAAGGATTCAGATAGCATTCATATGTTCAGGATTAGGAAAGGTTATAAGTCATACTAATTCTGTTTTTTTTACTTTGTTTTTTTTTTTTTTTACTTTGTTTACTCTGTTTTTTACTTTGTCAGAATGATCGGCGGGTAATTTGTCAAGATTTCGAGCTCATAACAGTCTCTGAACATTAATGTTCAGTTTCCATGCCTTCCTCATATATTTTTAATTTGACATGGATAATAATTTAGTTCATTATCACGGCGAATTATTTTATTGATTAGTAATTTGAATGTATATCACTTATTTTCAGGAAGTAATTGTTTTTCATCCTTCAACTGAAGAAAATTTTCCAGATCGAGCAACTGTTAGATATTTCAACACATGTTAATAATGAGTCACAGCTGCATAACTTGAAAAGATCCAATGTAGAATCTACTAGACATCAACTTAAGTCTACTCAAGTTGCTCAGAATTCTGAAAAAATGTGCGAAAACAGGATTGCAATATTTTGTTCTTTATATTACTCATATATGAATCTATAGCTTGCTGAAGAAATGCTTTTGCCTGTTCTAGATGGGAAATATAGAGCAATTGATATTAATTTTAAAAAAGTTTTGGAAAAATTCATTAGATGATTTGTAAAATGATTCAGTTATTCCAGGCACGAAATCAAGACGTTGCTGTCCTCATCACTGGTGATCTTTTGATAATTTTTGAAATAGCCAAAGTACTTAATGTGGCGCACGTATTACGTACAGCGATTGTAAAATATATGTTCATTGGTGTACACAAAATTGTTGGTGCATGGTTGGTGAAACAGAGTTGATCAGATGTATTTCAGGAAAAAGAAAATTCTGATGAAAAAATTCCATTAAGTGAAGAGCTGAAATGTGATACTACTTATACGAGCGTGAAAATTTATGGTTCACCGTTATTTAGGTATAAACTGTTTTTCTGTTTTTCGCTTACATTCATTTTATAATTTTACGAACATTTTTAGATTATAATTTTGTAGAAGACGGTAATGCTTAATTTGAGATATTCTTCCTAAAAGAGCAATAATTGATTTTTCTGATATATTTAGGACATCAAACATATGTCGTACATCTCTTGCTGTCCTGGCCGACATTTCATTCACCCCTATCAAAGATCGCAATGGAAACAAGCCGAAAGTTGTAGACATCGAAAATTTCCCGGTAGGTTCATTGAATTTTTTGCGATTCAAAGGTCGAGTAAAGCATTTCCATCAAGTTTTCAAAACTTTAAATTTGCTTTTTGCAAGATGGTAATGCTTAATTTATAGATACTCTTTCTAAAAAAGCAATAATTGATATAATATTGGAATTGAATAGTGTAGAAGATTTAACTGTATTTTATGATAGACTGCAGATATCAATGTTGAACTGAACGATAAACTGCATACGAATGAAATCACTGTGCAATTTATGGCCGTTGAAATCAGGTTTTCTCTCATTAACTATAAGCATCAGAAATCGTCCTGAATTATTATCCTAATAGCTTTAAAATATTGAATTAAAACTAGCTAATACAATTCTTATAATATGGCTGTATGTTTAGCTTAGAAAATGGTTGCGTCAAGATACCAACTTCGGTATTCTTCACAATTGAATTTTTTCGTTTCCACACAGTTACAACTGAAAGGTTTGTTATTTAATTTCTCAACTGAAAAATTTGTATAACTTTAGAAATTAATACTTCACGAAAAATATATCGAATATAACTTAATTCTTTCTAAATGTAAATTCATAGGTAGCAAAAATCAGGGGAAAATTACCCTTTTGAAATAATCATAATTTATAGATTATGGCTGGATACAGTTTATTCAAAAATAAATCTCCACCAACAACTGTTTGTTCTGAAGCGCAGAGGAAACATCGAGGAGACAGCTAAAGAATACTGCAATGGCTTCACTGTGAACAATTATTTTTGTCCGTACATATTCGAGGAGAATAATTTATAGTCTCGAACAGGGTTGATATTTGGAATTTCAGGTAAGATATATGGTTGATGGAAATTCATTTCCAGATGGGGACGAAGAAGATTACATTAACTATCTATCAAATGGCCATGCGATTGTTGATGTATGGGATGCCCAGTCTTTGTTACCTCTTGGCAAATCGTATATTCCACTAAAGGTTATCTGTATTTTTTTAAATAGTTCTATTTTATTTAAATAGCTAGTCTGAGTAGATTGAAAAGAAACACAAATTTGTAAATAGGAGTTTTTATCTTTCTAGAATCAAAAAAAAATTTTTGTTGATGTCACATTTTCAGAAAAATACAAGTTATCTACGATTATTTTCGCGTAAGACAATTTGTAGTACTTGAGATATTTTAAACTAGTAAAATTAAAGAAATTTTTTGTAGTTTTTACTGAGACGTGGATCCGAAGCAATACAAGTTGATATACAAAGTGCGGTAGTGCTCAGCAATTTTCCTGAACCATCCATCATAACATGTGAACTATTACTTCGATTAGCCAGTGTTGGTCATCCATGCTTTAAACAAATGGGTACGATAACTGCTTCATGCAAAAAATGAATAAATCGATATTTAAGAATCAAAGTTGGGGTTATGTAAAAAGAAATTTTTGATATAGTGATAGAAAGCATTCACTTCATTTATTAGATTCACAACGACCGATATGCGGTCGATGAGATTGAAAATATTGCGCTATGTTTAACCAGTCTTTAAGAATTACTAGTAATCAATACGATTTAAATCTTCTAGCTTATCTGGTAGGTAAAATGTGTTTTGCTATCATAGTAAATCGCTTAATATGTAAGAAGGCTAACAGCAACGGTCTTTTATCATTTTTAAATTAAATTAAAATACATTTGTCAAATTTAGAATTGGTTTACAAAGAAAAAAAAAATTTCTTTGTGGCTCGCTAATTTTATTGTTTAGATTCACTACGAAGTCGAACCAATGCAGTTGTAAGCCGACAGCTGACTCGAATCGGTGAAAATGAAAATGAGTCATACAAGATTAGAGCTAAATCACTGAATCCAATCCATGAAAATTCGCTGCAACGTTTCCTGGCTGCTCAAAGGTGAATAATTCGACCTTGAAATCTACTGCAACAAGCTTCATATTTTGTGCTATATGTGGCAAATTGAATTCTTGCTTACTGTTAGAAACTTTCCAATTGTCGGATTTTAATTAATGCTCATTTTGTTAGTGGAAATCTTTAGAAACAATAACTAATGTAAAAAATTCTTCGGAAGAAGTTCAATTAAATCCTATTAGGTTGGATATAGACCAGCGTTATAATGAAATTGTGAACGATGCAAAAAACCTGGGAACAAAAAATTTGCCACTCACGACAAAAGTATGAATTATTGATCTTTTAAAAAATTGATTTAACACTTATAAAAATCTATAGAGAATATTAGCATAATTGCTTTTGGTTTTCCAACATTTTGCAAACGCAAAAATTGAAAAAAAAAAAGATATTCATGAGAAAATGCAGTTTTAAATTTGCTGTTTTGTAAATACAAGTAAGTTTTCCAATATTCGTGTAATAAGAAATATTGCAGGGATCAATGAAGCGATATCTATTTCAGCAAGAATTAGAAGCGTACAAAAAACTACGTGATGAAGATAAAGCATCGAAATTATTAAAAGTCGTTTTCAAATCAATAACTACAGAATATCGGTACGAATTGTGCATACTGGAGAGCTATTAAGTTCTAGTCAAATATAAATAGCTAATGGATAGTTGATACATTTTATATCTGATATAATCTCAATCTCTGCAATACCGTTTTTCTTCGAAATGAATTTAAATTGTTTAAGTCACGCTAAATTTTATGCTGCCACAATGCAATCAATTTTTTGTAGCATTTATCCAAAATATGGTCAAGTCATATTTTTCGAGTACATGCTTCAAAATACTGAACCATATCCAGCTGTTATCGTTGTAGACACTGCTGAGAGCACATTGAAGTAAGCTGTATATCTTTATCGGATTTTGTAATTGGAATTATCCTTTTAGAATTCTGCTAGAAATATGTTATGATTTCAAATGATTAAGAAGGCTGGAGTAATATTCCAAAATTCAGATTTCTATTCTATTTCTCCGCAAAGGGATCGAGATTTGCTAATAAATGTTTGAAAATTATCCATGATAAATTTGAAACAGACCTATAAATAGTCTTGTCTGCAATTGTGGAATAATAATTTATTAAAATATTGTAGACCACTTTTTGATGTGGGATTATGGCAATATTACAAAAATATGTATGGGATTGAAACTCCACTTGAAAGGGATCTTTATCAAATATCAAAAAAGGATGAACAAATCACCGAAGTGCACATTTTCTTGAAACCTATGGAAACTATATGTGCACCGTTTATTTACGATGGATTTGCACTGCCTCAGGAACAAATCAGAAATCAAGTTAAAGTAGCGTGAGAAATTAAATAAAAATTTAGGAATGCCCTTATAGAGGTTTTACTATTCCTTTTTCTGCAATTTTCAGTCAGTCAATATTTCTACTTCTCGCTATGCAAATCATCTTGGTAACTTTTCCATGCATTGCTGGGAAAAATCCCGCTGATTTAATGCTTTTTACAACGGTGACAATTGCTTTTTAATACATTTAAGTAGGTTTTGAATCGTTTGAAATATTTATAAATCTATATGTAAATTTCAGATAATATTCAAAAAGAAAAACGGTGGTGAACCGATAGCAATCTTAGACTTATTGATTGGAAATCGTCATAACATTATTTCTAATTCATTTCGTTTCTATCACGAAGCGGAAACAACGCTGTCTAAGATTATTCATATTACCGGATATAAAAGTAGTCATTGAAACAGTTTTTAAGTTCATTTTCCCTTCGAAGCAAGAAACAAAATTCATATAATTTTATCTGCAAAGTGTTTATTTCAGATCGTGTGCTTTCCATTCGTTGTACAGATCCCCTTGTACTGACTTCATTTAAGAACAATTGCGATGGCTCTCAGGATTTACATTTTTCAGTATATTTAACTTGATTATATTATTGGAAATAAAAATTCTGTGGCAGTTTTTTTTTTTTTTTTTTTAGTTCTCAAATTTTGTTTGTTCTGTTCATGATGTTAATTTGCAACTTCTTACAGTGTCAAACTGGTAAAGCACCAATGTTGCGAACATTCACAGTAATTTTTTTTGCTGACCAGTATTACAGCATTGTTCTTGGAGCATGGTTAATACACATTCATTCGGTGAATCAAATCAATCTAAATGCTGTTCGAGCACAACTCATTAAAATTCCCATCGTTTTAAAGTAGATAAATTTTTTCGATATTCGAAATTTTACTTTCACTTGGTTGTAAGAGACATTTCCTTGAAATTCATTTCTTCACCTGGAGAAGTGAGAATTCATATTTTTTATTGCTACTGTCCGATCAAATTTCATTCTTTTTAGCCTTTCTTTTGCTTTTTTAACATTTACTTAAGCAATTACTATTTATAAATTACTTTTAGAACTGATGATAAATGCAGTGGCCTGGTTCGTTTCGGAAGCTCTTCAAAAAATTTTGAGGTTCATCCATCAGATGCAATTGCAGCGCAATTTGGTGGCACTTTGAATGCTGTAGTTCATTTCCTACCAAATTTCATAGGTTAGTAGATGTATCCTTAGCAAAAAAAATATAAACTACTATGTTTTAAATACAGAAATGTAGAATAATTTTTTTCCCTGCTTTAACATCTCTATACTCTGCCTAGCGATCCTTCCTCAAGGTCAGTCAATATTGATTTTGTTGTGATAGTCTTATCAGTTCCTGAATCCGCAGACGATGTTTATCCTTCTCATCGAGAAATAAAAATGCCTTCTATGTAAAACGATCAAAGGTACTGCGCCTATTTATATCATCAAGAATTGTCTTCTATGTAAATCCTCATTTGGAAGTGCCTTATATTTAGAAAGATCAAAGATACGATATCTATTTTTGTTATCAGGAAATGCCTTCTGTGTAAACTCTCACTGAAAAATACCTTCCACTTAAAAAGATCAAAGATATGGTATCTATTTTGTTATCAAGAAATGCCTTCTGTGTAAATTACTCATAGAAAATGCCTTCTATTTAAAAAGATCAAAGATGCGATATCTATTCTTACCATCAGAAAATGCCTTTTATGTAAATTCTCTTCAAGGAATGCCTTTTATTTAAAAAGATCAAACATAAGATATCTGTTCTGTAATCAAGAAATGCCTTCTCTGTAAATTCTCGAAAAAAGTCTTCTATGCAGTAAGATCAGAAATTTTTCTCTATTGTGGGATCAGTAGGGATTAATATATGTTTAATTAAAAAGTTTTATTTAAAAAAATGAATATTTCTGGAAGGTCCTTGAAATTTTCGAAGTTTATTGTGAATTCAGCAGAAAGAAATTTAATATTACACGACTTACATTTTAGTAATATGTGTAGGAGTCTTCAGTCGCTAAACTATATTCGGATCTTTGATTAAATTCAGTTATATTTGAGTAACATCAAATATCCGCTTTAGGACTTGGTTATATGGATAAAATGAATGCACTCAGACACTGAATCCTTTGTTCTTTATTTACTTTCAGAAATGTGTTTCCAGCGATTGTGACTTATTAAAAGGTAGATATCGAATAATTATCATGTAAAAAGAACTGAGATACAAAAAATAAATTGTGAATTCCATATTTCTTGAAGGTTTCCGCATGGTGCTGATTTCCGCAACTGATGAACGAACAAATCATTTGCTTTATCAATGGATGATTGCAGTAAATGTGCAAGAAGCGAACATCACTAAAATATTTGAAGTTTATTTGCAAAACAACAGGGATCAAACAATCGTAAGTCATATCATCGCACGTAACATTTATTCATATTAGCATCAAAAAAGATATTTTCAGAAATTTTTGTTATGATTTTAATTTTTATAATAATATTACATGAACATTTGAATTATTTCATATTTTCGTTTTTTCAGGCATTAACTGTGAAGAATCGGTACAGTGTGCAACGCTCATTTCGGATTTCTTGTTCGCATCCAGAGTACGTCCGGATTGAAAATGATATCGTTATGCTTTCTGGCCATAATGCAATTGATGTTTCTTTAATATTCCTGCTAAATAATGGAGTGAAATTACCTGAGGTATTCATCCCATTTTTTTTTTAATGCCTATAATCGTAAAGAAACATTTTTTGTTTTCAGTTGAATTTTTAAATATTAATTTTCTAATCTCTCTTCTGCAATTTTTGTAATTCTTAATAATCATTTGCAAGTTAAAATTTAGAAGATTTGGTCATCTCTCAGAAATTTCTTTCACTTCCAGGTGCTTATATTTGTTACGAATGTGGAAAACAATCTTCAAGAAGAAGCCTATTCTATGAAATTGATTTATCATGATTAGAGACGAATTCCTATCAAAAACACTTCAGTGCGAGATAAAATACTTTTGAATACCAGTGTGTAGTTTAATATTCTTTCTACATCAATATAGGGATGGAAAAGAATTTTCCTGTAGAAGTTTTGTATCAGCGAATAGTTTCCCATTATTCTGCTTTAATTTTTAACGACTTTATTATTTGTTATTTTATTATTGTAAAAGCTACAATTTTCCTATGAGACAATAGCTTTTGTGGGAGTCGAGTCTGTAATCATAATCTAAAATATTTGATCTTGTCGGGATATTGCTGATATTACCATTACCATAGACCATAGACAGTTTTCGTTTTAAAAGATTTTGTCAGTTTTTGTGCTCTGATATTTTTTATTCAAAATTGAAATGATAGAAAATGTGTCTTTAGACTACTTTCTTAAATTAGTAAGCTGCAGTATAACAATATCTATCGAAGAAATGTAATTTATAAATAAGTTGTCGCTTTGGAATTTAGAGAATGCCATTTGTAAGTGCAACTAAAAATGTCATTTTTTATTTCATAATTATTAATCTTTACAAATAATTTGGCTTGGGAAGGAAGCTTTGACGCGGCAAAAGTTTATGAATTGAAAACATTTGAGGATCTAAAATATTAGCTAACATAATTTAGCATTCGTAAGTTTCTAAAAAAAATTGTTCAGTTAGAGAGAAATTTGTGTTATCAAGCGGATTTTTCATATGGTTTGTTTTCCTTCTCACACTGGTAGGTAATACAATGCTTAATTGCGAAACCTTATTATGATTATTCTAAGGTTAGAAAAAAAGTGATTCAAAAAATTTAGGAAGAAGTTAAGGAAAAGTTAAGGAAGAAATGATTCAAAAAATATATATTAGCGGAAATACAAAGTACTATTATTAACTACACTTCTCTTTCGGCTTGATTTTCGAGACCAGTAAAATTCCTAAGAAGTAAATTTCAGATACACTTCCAAGTAATTATTAATAATTAAACTTGTACAATGTCAGTTGTATTTTCAGTTTGGAAATGGTTAAAAATCAACATTCACTAAAAGACGATTCAAACAATATTTGTCTGAAATTTAGTTTTTATCGAATTCTTGTATTTTCGATTATAACATTACCTCTAAAACAAATTATTGATTTTAAGACTACCCTAGTCTTGTTCCAGCAATAATGTTTTAAGTAAGCTTCTTACAAAGTATACAGCGGTATCTTGTACCTTGTATTCCTTTTCTTCCGATTTTGACTGCTGATTACCAACAAAAGAAATATATGGTTAGAGATCAACCTGTAATTACATTAAAACTTTAAGGTAGATGAAAGTTTTTGCTGAGAACTTGAGAATTAGAGCTTTTCTTTCAATGTAATCAATTCATTCCAAAAGTTTCTACAATTCTGCGATACATGTGGTAACAATTATGTTTAAAGTCGAATAATGATAGTTCAAGTATTAGTACAATGTAATATAGGATATACTAGAATCCAGAAAATAGTTCACTCAAATTCAAGGTACCAAGTTAACTTTCTATTTGTGGACTAAGATTTACATTTTTTATGGTGTTACTAGTAATGATATAACCGCTCAAAATCCTTGGGGTATGCTTATCTAAGTCTAAGTCCGAAATAATTCGTCCAATCGGGTTACACTTTGTTTGCATAATGGAAACTACCAGATATCGATTTCAGTTAAATCTGAAATTTTATTCAAGATAGAAATTTAGATTTTTATAATTTAACTTTAGTTGAATTTAAGTTTTGATTTAAAATGATAAAAATACTTTTTTTTTCTTCCCCAATATTTTTCAGATATATTCTGATAATACATTAACGTGTAGTTGTTGTTCAAATACATTCAACAGACAAGGATGAAAGAGTGATACGTTATTTATGACCACATCGTATGCCCGTATTGCATCATTTTTCGTCATCCAATCATCAGCAAAAGATTAAAATTTTAGCTCTGTCTTGCTTTTCGTATTTGTGTGTAAAAAATCCTTTGGCAATCAATTGATCAATTATTCATCCAATCAATCGATTAATCATTCATTCATTTGTTCAACTTTATTGACAGCTATATTTTTTCATTGCTTAAAATTCGAAAGAATATTTATAGATAGATCTGTCACTGTATCCATGTTATTCTCTCTCGGCCATTACTGTGTACAAAGTTTTCCTTCCTATCTTCAGGAAGTTTCTATCTCGTAGTTTTCTTGCTTAAGCATACAAAGATTCTTCCTTCTGTTTCAAATAGTGAATCTTCAGATATCCCCCTAAAGATAGATTTCCGAGCTATCAAGATAAATGTTAGGTAATCCTCAGTACCTGAGAAGAGATGAAAAACTAGTCCCCACACAACAGCAACCGTGAATGTAGTAAGTGTAGCATAGTCACTCAACGAAAATTATTTCAACTGATTCTGTTTTCATGCCCTTTTTATTCTCAAAGATGCAAGAAAAGTGAAGAAATATTAATATTTCTAAATCAGTTTCGAAACTCTTTCAAGCGATAGAAGATATCTGTAAATATATAAAAATATAAAAGGATATAATTATCAATAAAGTTACTAACTGAACGAATGATTTATCGACTGACTGGATGAATAATTGATCAACTAACTGCCGAAAGATTTGTTAACATACAAATACGATCAGTTAGGCACAGCTGAAATTTTGATCTTTGTTTTTTTTTTTTGTTAATGATTGGATGACGAAAAATGATGCAATACGAGTGTACGGTGGGCGTCGTAAATAGCATACTCTTTCATCTTTCCACGTTGAATGTATTTAAATAAAAAACTTGGGTCAGTATATTAACAGAATATATTCAATGAAAATGAAAGGAAAAGGAATAAATTCGTTATGTGTTTAATTAGAATCGAAATGTTTCAAAATTATAATGAAACTTATAGTGCATGCGAACTCAAATGTATTATTCTTTTAAAATTAATATAATTTTAATGCTCCAAGGAGTTCATCCATTCTATTTGTCTCACAGTTTCTAGAAATTTTATTTATATCTTGTCATTTTCATCATCAATGAATGTTAGATATCCATCAAACTAATATCATCAAACTAATTTTATAATCATATTATAGCAACCTGGAAAGAATTTCCAGGAGCAGCAATTGAAATAAATAACTGAAATAAACAAATTCAATTGCACTTACAGTTCCAATAAAATGCCATTTGCTATACATACCATGTGTCAAATACACAACAACTAGAATGCAGAATGAGTGGCGGTCTTAAATTAGCACTTAACAAGGCTACTGTTATACAGTTCCTATTCCTTTCATTTATGTCTTTACACTTTTAATATAACGGTGTTCATTTTCTTCTCAAACATTTGCAAATGTTTTATAATATTTCTCAAACATTTAGTACAAGCTAGTTTTGCTAGTCTTTTGGGAAATATGCAGTATTTCTAAATCTGATAACAGCATTACACTTATTTAGGTTAAAAAAAAAATAAAGCTTTCCTATGAGTTAAGATAATGCAAGATTTTATATCTTATAGTGATGATACGACCATTGTTGATAACAACGAAACAAAACATTAGGAAGCTCTCTCAGAATCTCACTCACTCTTTTCCGTTTTGGATGAATAAATTTCGCTTTATTGTTTTTAAGGTCTTTGCTTCTTATCAATACAATTTACTCCTTGATCCATCCAGTTATCAATTTGTTGATAACTCCCGCATGTGTGCATTCCCAAGTATGTGTATGTATAAGCATGTGTGTGTATGTGTTTTATGTTTATATGTTTGTATGTATGTATGTATGTACTCACACGTCTGTTTCTGTTTAAAAATTTTTTCAATGTAAAAAATTCAATATTTGTTGGCAGAGTTCCCGAATTGACGACCACGTGGCTTGAAAAGTGTCGCTTGTCTCTGAGCTCTAAGACTAAATACTTCTCAGTTTGATGAACTATTTCACTGAACTGGCCGGGAATGCACCAAACATTACTGGAACTACCTGACAACAATGACATGAGAAATGAGTAAATGAATAGTATAAAAGCAGAAGGACGCAAGTGGGTACAGAGATGTTTCCCGAAGATCGAGCGAACCCTCTCATTATCATACTTGTACTAAAGGTTAAATTGTCGAGAATGACTCAATTACAGCAGTCAATCTCGATGTTCAGCATATGAGTCATGAATATTCAATGAATATTACCTGCACACTTCAGTCTAATGCAGAGGGACGAATAATTGCGTATGTGACACAGTTATTGAAATTATCAAGTTTGTGACTATTTCTTTGATCTCATCATCATATCACTTCTAAGAAATGATTTCTTAAGCGAAAGACTGAGTTTAAGATCGCGATGAATTAACTTTATGAGACAAAAGTTTTGTGAATAAAAGAGATGTGCAAAATGAAAGACGGAAAAAAAGAGGAGAAAAGAGAAGAAATTCTGATCTGTATGTAATTCATCCTTTACATGATTGATCGAATGTTCTCAACTTCCATTTTCGATTTAGTCTCTCTGCTCCATTCCTAAATCTCAAGCAGAATTGACTCCTACACTTATCTTCCCTGATTCCCGTCACTGCTGTCATTCATATAATGAATATTTGCTGATATCGTCATCGTTATCATTCTTATCATATTTGTTTTGCTGCCAGTGTTTTGCTAAGAGCAATCGCTAACAGCTAAGAGTAATCGTTCACATGGGAAGTGGGAGATGAGTTGTTGACCAGTGAGAAAGGTGAGTAGGGAAGAATCCGGAGTTCAATTACGTTTTGCCGAGGCAAATTTATATTCACAGCGGTCGGTATGGTTTTCTCGAACTGGTTTCCGATGGAATTCTTGCTTGTTTCATATGACACTTTCCTTAATTTTGGTAAACACCATTTGAAATAATGATATTTTAAAATATCAACAATAACGATTGTAATGTAAAAGTCACGAGGTCACTAACTAGAAGAACTGTCAGCAACCATCGTAACATCTCGCTTGCTGGTCAATTTTGAGAGCTACCGATATATGTTGACATTTCTCTTGGAAATTTGTCTTGGTGTTTATGTACTATCCTAATGTTTGCTGTTCAGCCAGTAAACTATATTGGTTGTTCCGCTATATTCAGTCAAAAAATTGATATATTCATTTATATTCATTCGAGATAATATCATTTCTTTCCTTTTCAGTAGAAATCTTTGCAAAGCAAATAACACTTCCAGTTTTTGTTAAAAAGCAAAGAAAAAAATTAAAAATGAGCTTAGATTATTTCTTGTAACTGATTTATCAACGACTTAGAAGATAATTTTTAAGCCATTGCATTACTAATTTGTTAACACCAATCTCTTTTCGTTACATTTTGTCGCTTTTCCTTTCCACATGATAAACAACTTTTTCGTTTATCATAATTTTTGTTTAGTCGCTCGATTTTCTACTATTTATGAATCCTTCTACTCTTATCAGAATCGTTAAGTACCACCGATGCTACTGACAAGACCGTGAAATTTGCTGAAATGTTAACTAAAAGCCGTTAATGAGATTTGCGAATTCTGCTATGGGATCGGGATTATCACAACATAAATTTCTCGAATGAAATTTCACTAACCAAATGACTGAAATATTTGACATTTTCTTGATAATTTGTTTTTCAATGGGAACCGAAGTTACAAAAGCGGTAAAGAAGGAAAAGTAAGTAGGACTACTATATTTAATAAAAATTATGGTCGAAACATTGATACGTCTTTTATAATACGATATAGTAAACGTGAACGTGCAAAGTGCACTTAAGTAAAGGAAAATGAACGTGGAATTTTAGCAAATTTCAAATGGGATTTTAAAGGAAATGTAAAATCGCTCTGCAATTTTTCTTTTTTTCTACATCATCATCTCGCAATATATCAATTGTGTCATTATCAACATACGTGCCAATTTACACATCGAGGAATGTTTTAAAAAAAGAAAGAAAAAAGTTTTAAATCAATTTTTAATAAGTGTTCCTTACGAACAATCCTTTAAGATCGTTTAATATTCCAATAACTTTATTTCTTATTCTGGAAATGAAAGAACAAAAACTTAATTAATGTGTAAATATTAAATTAATATATAAATAATAAAACCCAAAAACTGATCAGTGTGATTTTGAGTTGTTTGATCCTTCCTACTAATCTAATCCTTTGATGGAAAAACGTACGAAAAACGAAGGTAAAACAGGATTATTGCATGAAAATCAATATATTAAGCTTGTTTATATGATCTATCACTTTGTTTGATCCTTACGTGACCTATTAACCTAATCCTTTTATGAATTTCTTTTAGCATTTTATGATCCGGAATTAATTCAATAAAATGGTTTTAAACTTTAAAACGCTTAAAAAATTAAACTGGAAATTCCCGTCATCGCGTGAGAGTTTGCGATAAGAAAAATGAAGGTGGAAGAAAATTATAAACATAGCTACATGGCCGACATTTAAATGACGTTTTTCCTTTTCGCGATCGACTAATTGTCAATAATGTAAAATTTACTGCATTTGACAAAGTATTTCAGTACTTTTTTGGTTCTTTTCAGCACTCAATTTTAGTAATTTCAGTTCATGCATATATTATTTTCTGGTATCATCGCAATGTGGTGTCAGCAGAACTAAGAATTGGACTCTTACTGCACTTTCAGCACTTTTCGGATGTATTTTAAAACACTAAAAAAAATGAACATTTTAATAAATCTGACATTTGCTTGTTTTCAGTAACAAATCTGAGAATGAGCTACTATTAGTGACTTACCTTGCGAAGCACTGTTTGGTCAAGTAATTAAAAAAGCTAAAATTGCAATTGAATATTCTTAATCATGTTCACATTTTAATTACTCCATTCTCCACTGCTTCTTCTATTATTTCTCCTACCTTCCCATCTCATTCTCTCTGATAGCTTCATGCCCTTCAAGCGTTCACTTTCCTACAAATTGCAAGTCGAAAGCAACCAAAACTATATTTCATCATCCTTGCTTTAAGAAAATTAAGATCATTATTTTTAATTATTTACAAGTCCTATTGACAATTCTGAAACGTAGTTGTTACCAGTAAAATGTTGAAAAAATGATATTGTAACGTCTGTCATTAATAATTATCTTTCTGACTATAAATGGTGATATATAATGGAATTATTTTTTATTTATTTCATAGAGATGTTCAAGAATTTTGATGATCACCTTCGGGCAGTCAAAGAGGAATGAAAACTGTGGCTTCCATAAAAAGACAGTAATCACTAAGAAGACGTTTTATTATCATTATAAATAGACAAAGCAGATGAGTTGCGAGATAATATGACATGACCATTCTTGCAAGCCAAAACTAAATTATTTTATTTAAATTATTTGAACTATTTATGATCCAATCATTCGATAAATAAAACGATTTGATCATTGTCAACATTAATTATATTTATTCACAGTGATTAAATTTAAATGCCAATTACTCAATGGTAAACTAGGTACTGTTCAATTGTATTTTGCTGAAATAACTCAGCAGAATTTTTGGCAATCATCTGTTTGTTTTCATCACTTGATATAGCCTAATTGCAAGAAATTTTATCACATCATTAAGTCATTAAATGTGACAGGGAACACTGAGCAATTCAAAGACAAGCACAAAATGCAGTTCAGGGCAAGTCAATTGTTGCTGAGATTAAAATTTTAAGCAAATTCACAAAGAGCTAAGTTTTGAAGAAGTAATAATGTGATATAATGAAATTAATTTCCCGAATTACTTAAAATAAACATGTCAATTGAAACTTTGATGCATTAATGACATTCTCCCACTCGCTCTTCCCTTGCTTGTTTATGAAGTTTCAATCAAGAAAAAATTTCCCAACAACTACACATTTGTCATTAACGTGGGAGGAAGAATCAAGTCGCCGGCACATGGTGGTTGAATGATTAGAGAAGTTCCTTCACGATGGGCGGTGTCATCGGACGTTTGTTTGTGGGCGGCACACATTCTTGGGGCAGCATCTGAGGGTTTCTGTCTCCTCTAAACATATTTAAAGGACATGCAACCTCGGTACTATTCGATAGAAAACTTTAACTAGCAAGTTTACATACTGCTATTATTACTATCTGTCATCATTAGTCACTGATACTATTATTTAGCAGTACGGTACGATTGTTCTCGAGTTCCATTACTGCGTTTAAAAAAGAGGAAAATTTATTTCCGTCAAATGGCTCCAACAAATAAACATAACCGTAAATTGAAAATCGAAGGCACCGATTTACCCACAGCCAAACATATACCAACTTCTGCATCCTGTAGTTTGGAAGATCACAAAAGTGCATTCGTTTTTCAATTGGATGGTCAACCTAAACAATCTTGTATTGACAACGAAATTTGGCCGCCGGTGTTCAAGCCTGAATTTCTTAGGTATAATCTGAAAAGGAAACATTTTTGTCAACTCCTAAATATTCAAGTGTGTATTTCTAGTGCAATGCATTCTTAAATCTATCTCCCTGGAAATTTTAAAGAAATTTGAAGGACTCTGTTAGTTTGATTTTTTTTGCAGAAGTGCAAAGTCTATGACACCACGTGATAATGATATCTTCGTATGTACTTATCCTAAGTGTGGCACCACATGGATACAACATATTTGCTCACAGCTGCTAACTGAAAATTACGGACCACAGGTGGGGCAAGGTAAGCATATTATTTCATTTCTCCCTCGTTTACCACCACTTGAACCTCTCTTTAATATGCTAATTCCAGAACTGTGTATAACGAGTCCAATGATTGAACGAATGGGTGCAAAATTTGCTGATAATTTAGATGCTCCACGACTACTGAAAACACATTTCACATGGTACAATGTACCAAAAAACAACAGTGCCAAATATATTCTTGCAGTTCGAAATCCGAAAGATTGCCTTACAAGGTTATCTTATATCTTAACAATCTCAGCACTTTTGCAAATTTTGAGCTGAGTAAAATTTTTTGTTACTCAAACTTCGAATTAATAAGTTAAAATTTTCAGCTACTTCTTTCACAATCGCAACTTCAAAATCTACAATTACGAACATGGTGATTTTTCTGTTTTCTTCGAACTTTTTCTGACGAAAAATATTGCATTCGGAAATTATTTCGACTATCTGCTCAGTTGGCTTCCACATATTAACGATGAAAATGTGCTGTTTTTGAAATATGAGGACATGTGCGCCGACTTACCACAAGCAATTGTGAGAATTGGTGAATTTTTGGGCGGTAAAGCCACAAAACATGTCCAGGATGAGGCTATATTAAGTCAAATTGTGGCAAACAGTACGATCAAATCTATGAAGAAAGATCAGTGGCGATGGTTCCCAGAAAATAATCTGTAATTTTTTAATTGGTTCTTGAATCAGACATCAAGTAACTTTAGAAGTCTTTAAAGATTATTATTATCATAAGTATATGTACTAAGTTTGAGAAACATATAAGAAAAGTGACTACTCCTGTACCCGTGTGCATATAACAGAGATTCTGGGCATTCCTGCATTTTTGATAAATGGCCGTTAATTCGATAAAAAAAGAAGGATTTGCTGTAGTTCAACAGCCGTTTCTAAAATCCACGTCATTTAGATAAAAAAAACAGTTAAAAGAAGAGTCAAAAGAATGATCATTTAAAGTGGAATCGATTAAGGGTAATAAAAAAGTACCATGTGCAATTTGATTGATCATTTCTTTTTGGCAATATTCGATGTTGTAAAAGTACAGACATGCGAGACATTATCTCTTCGACATCAATTAATCAAAATTAGAAAAGTAATTTGGTGATTTGTAGTACTATCTAAAAAAATGAAGCAAACACTTACTTGCTCCATTGCTATTCATTGTTCCGAATCTGTTTTTTTAGCAATTCAAATTTGATATTTTCAGACGACAAAATATTTTCATCCGAAAAGGTGGAAGCGGAGATTGGAAAAATTATTTTACACTTGATCAGTCAAGGCGATTAGATGCAATGTATCAAAAATATCTATCCGGAACAATTGCGGAACATTGGTGGGAGGAAGAAATGGCTTGGGACAATGTAGAAGAGGATATCGGAATTGAAGCCGATTTGTCATCCATATCCATTGCTAATGGATGCGTCAATAATAGTTCTGCCAGTTCAAGACGGGATTCCCTAGAAGATTTCCAGGGAGATTCCATCGAATCCACCGATTTGAGTCTTCTGAAAACGACTATTCAAAAATACATCCCATGGCGTGAACGTGTATCATCACAATCATCATCAGGATATAATTCATTGTCCTCATCCTTATATTAAAGTACTTCCATTCATTATATTTTATTAAAGTACAATTGTACTGCAAATGTTATATGCAGATTCATTTAAATTCAGTTTTGATAGTTTTTAACAGCATTGCTGCATCTGAACCACCACCTATCACTATTGAAATAAAAGTTGGTGACTGCACTCTTCATGCAAATTATTTACAGCTGACGACGACTCTCCGAGTCTGATCTTTGCAATCTCAATATTGTATACCTGATAGTAATACCACAATACCTCACTTGATAATTGTTCACTTTAAAATCATTTTTATAGTGTCTCCAAGTTAAAATCTTGAACCAGTTTCAAATTTCATTATTTTATAACTAGCATTTACTCTGATTAATTTCATTATCGTTTTAAATAAATTCTATCTCATTATCATTTTGGATAATAATTTCTATCATCTCAAATCCAGAACTGAGCTTTGATTTCTTCTGCGCCAAATATTTCTCTGTTCAGGTATTTGAATAAGCTATTTTCGGAAATCTTAGATGTCATATGAATGTGCCGCTATATTCTTCTGATCACAAAAAAAAATTTAACAATTTGTTGTTTTGCTTGTGTTTTAAGTCAAATCATTTGTATATTTGAATTCAATGCCATCCATTGATATGTATGTATATATTTGTCCAAAGAATTTCTCTTTCGTGAAAAATAATAAAATGTATATTTGAATCAATAGTAAAAATTAATAAAATGACTTAATTTAATCTGGTAATTAACATCAAACGATCGATCGTTGTTCCCACTATCGGCAAAAAATTTAATAGTTAAAGATTCATGCAGGAAAATTGTGAATCTTCAAATATTAACAGAATTGGGCAAATAATATTTCTTCTTCTTCCTTAAAATGTATGTTCTTGATCAAAAAATAGTGAAAAATTTAATGAATTTAATATAAGTAAATAAATTTTATGATAAAATATGTGGAAATACAAGAAGTAACTGTTGAAAATGCTATAAGAGACGAATGAAATATAAGTTTTACAGGGGGCGAAATCTGCCAACAAAGACGTTACCTTTAAAACAAAATTGTTGTTTCATAAATCTAACTTTTTTAGAAGTGGTGAAGATTTTCTGGGATCTTGGAATTTCTATTTTAAATGTTTATTTTTTTCTATCAAACAGTCGAAAGCACTAAGATAATTGTCGTCAATTGTAGCTCTCTGTGACAGATAAGAGCGCATAATGTAATATATGAGTAAATGATTATTACATTATATATATATGTTCGTTCCTGAAAAGGAAAGGAAGGAACATCTGAAAAGGAAGGAACATCGCCACGTTTTCAAAACGTTAGTTTAAATTTAGTGATTTTGCACTTTCATTAGCAGATTTACATGACTTAAAGAAGAGTATGTAAGCAAGTCTATGTATGCTTTTTGAAAGTTAAAGTCACTGTAATTTAATTTTAAAAATTTACAGATAATATCCATTTCTTAAGTAGCGGTCGTAATTATTATTTTGTATAATTAATTATTTTTTCGTAAATATTTGGTTACATATTTATTTTTTGATACACTAATACTTTAGTTGGATTAATAGACAATCAAAAAATACATAAATTTACAAGCAAGAATATTTGAAATTGAAATGATCCTCGGAAGGTTTATACAGCTGTTTATGAAAATCGTAATAAAAAATAATAACAGTACATGAAAATAGCTAGAAAATATTCAGGAAAAATGTTTCTTTGATTTCAATCATAATTGCCAATAAGATTATAAAAGTATACAAATAAACGTAACAAGGAACAGGAACTTGACATAGTTGTCTAAAAAACTGAACACTTCCATCGAATCAATTTTCACTTATATATATATATAAACTTTTAAATAAGAAGACAAAATTCGGAGGGAAATGATGGTTAGATAATAAGTGAGCATAATTTAACTTTATTTCTTTTAAATTCATTTTCAAATGTTTCCGGTTTCAAATGATTTAATGATTTTATTAGCAATTATAACCAAAATCAAAGTAGTATTTCGACAAAATGAGATGTCATTCTCTTTTCAATTTGCGTAAGATTGTAGGTAACAATAAAAACAGAAAAGACGTGGTACTGACTGATAAGAATGAAAGATCAACGCTGCTAACATGATGTACTTGAAGTACTTTATCAGTACACGTTGACATTGTTTGATTGCATCAAGTTGAGATAACCAAGAAAGGGTAGATGCCAAAGTAGGGCAAATGCATGCATCAGTAATTTACTGGTAGAACAGCTAGTTTCTAAGAACATCGATAACGGAAGACACCGGTTTCGCCGTATTTTGGCAAATCAATCAGCACTTTCCATGTCGCAAAAATCCCGAATACGCACTTCTTTATTGTCATCCGTCACCATTATTTGCTGATGCAAATTGAAGAATGTTTCATCACATCGTTTCACTGTTGAGGTATGAAGTTCAACGTCTGATGTTTTCAAATTGAACCATAGTAAAAGACAATCTTTAAAATGTTTTGAACTTTTGCGCATTACATTCGTACCAAACAAAAGTAGTGACATTTAGAAAGATCAGTTTGAAGATAAAAAGGAAATGTTTCACGATGTCTGGATGAGAATCGGAAAAAAGAATATATGAAATATAAGTGACACGTTAAGCATTCGATTAGCTCTTACCAGTCTGAGTTTATTCATTTTGTTGAAATTCTTTACGAATTCTATAAAAATTCTTTCTAAGGCTGTTCTTGAAAGATGCCAATCAAGCTTTCCATTCACATTTCCTTGAAACATCAATTTTTAAATATCTGAGATGTAAATTTAGACGTGGCGATGGTTCAAGTAGTCTTATTGGTCATAGTATTGTCAATATTACAAGTTTATTTGGCAGTTGAATTCTGCATGCAGTTTCAAAAAAGAATCGTAATTTCAATGTTGACAAGTTAATTATAATTGCATACAAATAAACAGCTCAGCATTTGTCAGCCACATTAGCCGTATCATTGAATTTGAGACACTTTCTCAAAACTTACACAAATTTGAATTTTCTTAATTCGTCGAAAATTATGATAGGAGTTAGAGTTCACTTATTAAGTAATCATCCATACTACTCTTTATATCAATCATTTTTGTTTCCCATATCCAAAATAGTTCATAAATTCTTGTGGCCACTTTTAAATTTGCAAACTTCTAGTATAAATAGTACACTGTTTATGAAAGCAACATCTTATTTTTTTAATAACACTTTATTTATCAAATTACTAGTAAATTTCTTTCATTTTTATTAATATTTGTACTATGTTGGTTTTTTGCTATAATCATTTCAAGCATAAGCTGTTAATATCTGCCAATAAACATGTTAACCAACTTAAAACGATCTTAATTTTAAATAAAAAATGAAAGGTTTCATTCTGGTTTTGAACCAAAACTTGTATAATAATAATAATAACCTTACCATTGTTGAAAACAATCTGCTTATTTTTTGTTTTGTTTTTCAAAATTTTGGCTAAAAATTATTTCATTAAATTAAAATCAGTTGCAACACAGGAAACTGGGTGAAAAACATGCGTCTGGTATTTGGTAACTCATAAATAAAATTTTGCTAACTTTTGTTTATAAAGGAAATGAGAGAAATTTTCAAAAAGTTGTAATATATATTTGATAAGTAGCGAAATAAATTTGATATCCTGAAAAATACAATTTTACTAGTAATTTAAGTCTACTCAAACTTCTTCACTTGCATTCAGGTTCATATAAGTAAACAACAATTCATCCAAAATGAAATGTCATTGATAAATTTCACCATATGATTTTCTCATTTTCCACGCTTAAAGCTATCATAGCCTGAAAACTTCGACATTTCATACAAAAAGAAAATTGATGTATGATTACAATTTTAACTAGGTGACATGAGTGTCAAAAATTCTTCAAATCCATCCAGTTTTAACTTTCATATAGATGGAATGAATTACCGGAGAAATATAATCGCTGCGGCGATTGTACAACATTATCACCAATGCAGTTGATTTATCTATGATGACTATCATATCTGACACAGAAGCAACTTCATTAATTCGACTGTACTGCTTGATTAGCAAATTCTGTTTTCAGGATTTTCCGGAAACATTTTATAATTGGCAAAAATGAAGTTGGAAAGAAATGCGTTTGCATCTTTCGGTAGGTCCTGTTTTATCATGCTAGGAAATAACCATTATGGAAGTTTGTCCATATCAAATAATAATTTTAAAAAGTAAAGTATTCTTCGAATTTGTTTTAAATGTCGTTGAACAAAATTCCGTTAAACCAAAGCAAAGCAATAAAAATTATTTTTTAATTTGTAATTAGTCATTGAATTATTTTGTGCTCTTCTTATACCTTTTAGACTCTCATGCACCGACAGAAGCTAACTGATATTATTATAAATTTATTTGGACTGTATGGGCCTTCATGTGATAGAAATGTCCTTTTGATCATATCAGATTTCTCATCCATTGATTTATGATATTTGAACGTAAACATTCACTGAAACTCTATAATATTGTTACCACCAAAAATGTCAAATAAACACTTTCAGCGGCAATGAATATACTCATTACGAATTAACACTCACTCACTCATTCACATTTATTCATGAAATTAATGAATCTGATTGACTATTAGATTCCTTTCCATTTGAACAAATTTGCTATTCTATAAAAAAAAATGCTTTATTTTGTTTGAGTTATCAGTTCTTTTTATTGAAAATTTAAAGAATCGTTAAAGGAAATTGATAATAAGATGTATCAAAACGAACTAACAGAAGTAATAAACAAAAAAAGCATTTTACGGAAGAGTGAGAATACCATAATTGTTAAACTATGCCGCACTATTGCTAAAGTTTTTAAAGCGCCAAAAGCAAGTTTTTTTTTTGTTATTAGAAATGGTTTATTCAATTTATAGATTGAAATCATTAAATAAAATTGTGAATGTATAATGATGATTTCTAATAGTTGTAAATGAGAAAGGTTCATGTGAACCATAAAAGTGGAATTCAAATTGAAAAGAAAGTCATTTACTTTAATATTTTATTTTTACTTCACGAGTTTTACTGAATTCAGGTGTTTCTAAAATAAGAACTGATAATCGTTTTAAAACGTATTGTGATCACTAAGGAATTTAAATGATATCTATATCACTTATGAAGTAGTCAGTGATTGTTGCAAATCAAACTACATTGTTTACTTTACAGGACAAAGAAAGCTGGTATAACCAAGTGAATTTTTCGATAACATGACGATCTAAACATCATCAAATAAATTCAAGAAATGCTAAAATTAGTAAAAAGGTTACGAAAGATAAAGTGATAGTTATTAATAAGTCATGTAAATTACTAATGTAATGTCAATCAAAAAATTTCAAACATAATGTAACATATTTGCTTTGAAACCTTATTGCATCTTCTATTATGTTTTCTGAAATTATTGCTTGTTCCAACTTTCTAATATGACCGTATAAAATGATTAATCTTTATTTTTACAAACAACTTTTATTTGGTAATAATTGAGGTAATCAGCAAATTCTATGTTGCATTTTAATTCTCAGTGGGAAATACAAATAATGTATTTAGTTTATAGTGTGTTTATTAATAGAATAGAATATTGATGGAGATGGAAAAGCTGTAAAGGAGAAAGAAAGAAATTGAGTGAGAACTATTAATGAAGTTGATAAATTTACTTTACCTTACCTTTCACCATCATATTTCACCGCTCAATTACCGTGGCGCTGCTCTCTTTTCCCTCATCCCTATGGTTACCGAATCCTCTTTACAACTCATAAATCATTTCATACACTTCATTCCATCATAATTTGTTGTGCCAATTGGAAAAATTCTACTTCGATTGCCATAATTATATTCTACAAATGAGGGCAGCTTAGGCTTTTTATATCAACTAATATAATTTTGAAATTTACGTCATAAATCTTTCTTAGAATATGGCGAATAATTTACAATGATTAAGACAGTTTATTTATTTTATATTAAAAACATGTATTATCTTTGAAGATATCTAATGAGTGTATGCTATTCGTGTGGAACAACTGAAGATTCATATGAAAAAAGTTAGTTAACTTAAACTTTAAAAAATTCGACTTTCAAAATATAATTACAAAAATTTAAGATTGCTTTCCTGTTGCACCTTTATCGTCTATAAGGTCATTTTCAATTCTAAATAAATGGTACTTAATGAGATACTTCAGTTGATGTGTCAACTTAATCTTATCCTGACCTGATGTATGTATCTGATGTACAAAATTGTGCATCAGAAGCAGTGGCAAAACCAGACTTTTTGGCATAAATGCAGAAATTTTAGAAATAAATACTTTTTGTTGATACCAATGGTTTGATGTTTTCAATGAAACGTAACTTTTAAAAATTTTCATTTTTGATTTTTAATGAAACTTTTTTTCAATCCGAGTTTCAAGGATTTGATAAATATGTCATGTAATATGCAAATGTCTCAAGGCATATCGGCGTTCTTTTGTCTTCTTTAAGAACTGAATCCATTAAATCACAACTGCCGAATATTTAGCTTAAGAAAGCTAAATTTCCACCGTTAGCCATTTACCTTGTTACCTAACCATCGGTCATAGTGCTACCCTTTACTTAATGTCGATTTCAATTTTATATGCAACTTTGCAAGTGTCTTAACAATTCATCCATTAGCTTATTGTTGCTTTGAATGAATTCCACAATTTGATCCAAAACTGCGCGTAGAATATTACAGAACTGTCCTATTTCGGTTCATGATATTTAAATTGATTGAGTTAAATTGTTTTCCTCATTAAACCTTTTTGAAATTAAATTAAAACTCTATCGCAGATACTTTTAGGAGAAATACTGAAAATGTAACGGCTTCATAGGAGAAGATAGAAATTCTCTACTTCAGTGTAATGTAAGAGCAAGTAAGACTGATAGAAATGGATAGAATAATGTTCTTGCTAACTTGCTTCAATCAGAACTTTCTCAGAAAAAACATTTTATAAATTCTGCCCATTCGATTCTATAAAAAATCTCAGTTGTCGGCAAATGTATATTTAGAATTTTTTTTTACAGTAAAGATTAAAGTATTAGAAAAGAGTTGTTATCTTTGGAGAAAGAACTCATGCAATTGAAATCATTTATTTTCCATAATTAGATTGACGTCATCGACGACAACTTCAACTTCGAACAGCAAAAGAATATGAAAGAAGATAGTATTTTCAACTCTTTTTGCAGTGCCGATGCTATTTCTGGTAACATCAATGTAGAGTCGATAGAACGTAAATATTTGTATCGTTTTCAATAAAAATTCGATTTTCATTCCATTTCCTAATTTTTAATATATCTCAAACTAATTTTGATTGTTTCTGGTATCAGCTTACACTGAAATAATTCCAAAATACTGGAGAGAGTGATTGAAAAAGTTAAACTCAAGAAGTTAGGCTAATTAGTGGACCAATCTTTGAGAATTATATTTTTGGTTCCTTTGACAGAATGATGACTTCTATTATGCCTCATTCAGATTGCTAGTTTGAATTCAAGTGCATGTGCAACGGACAAAAAGCTCTTTACGATACTCTGTTTAAATGTTAGTTATTAGTCATCTCTAAATTCAGGCGTTTTGTCTAAATTTTTTGGGAATCATTGCTGCTTCTGTATGATCATTAAGATATTCCGTTCAGATCATCATATGAACTGCATTAGCTTAAGTTGTTCTATTGCTTTTATTCCTTCTGGAATGTTCCCTGCAATTGTTTTAATATAATTTATCTATGATCCACAAATGTTTCAACGAAAGACAATTTTATTAAGGTTAGACGAACATAGTGACAGTAATTTGTCTTTCGTTGAACTGAGTGCTTGATATGCGTGCTAATAAATAAATTAAATTTTTTATATACGATGTTTGTTCATCTCAGTTCGTATCCAACAATGAAATAAAGAAAGAAAACTCTTTCTTTTCTTCTACTGAATATTTGCTTTTCATTTTCAAACTTATTTTCTTGACATAAACTACTCTTTAATGGCCTACCTATCTATTAAGATTTATCTAACTCGTCACACTTCCATTTTCTGTCTTTCTTCCTCCAAATTTCTGCTTTTTCGTCTGCCACTCTATCGATTGTCTATTTATCCATAATTTTATATCAAAATAAGTAATGCAAATAGGCCATGTTCAGTTCACTTTCGGTTACTAAGGTATTGCACAATCAGCACTTGTGGCAAATAGAACCTAACAAACACATTTTCCTGTCATTGCAAGTGCCTATTTCAACGGGATTAAGTTATTCATTTCCTGTTCCGAGAAACTTTCCTACTTTTTTTCCGGATAATTATTCTTCTTTCTAATAAAATGTCCTGTCTTTATCCATTGAACTACTTACTACTGGCAATACCTATTCTTTACGAGGTCTTTATGCTAATATTTTAAATAATGGGAAATTTAATAAAATGGTGCAATTCTAGATTATGTGAAATATATTAATTTGCAAGTCAAACCTGAAATAATAGTAATTTATTTGTTGAAAGAGGCCTTTCTAATCTACCTAGGCCGTAACTTTGCTTATAAATGCGAAGCGATGGGCTCATGCCAGAGCCAGGAAGCTCAGGAGCAACTTGCTCGGAACAAAGCCATCGAAAAGCAACTTAACCAGGATAAACGTACTGGCTCTTCAATCGTCAAGTTGCTACTCCTAGGTTGTTATTCCATTTTTTGAATCCCTTTATTGTTTAATTTTTGCAGAAATCTAGCTATGATTATTAAGGTTTTACAATATCTAGTTTAATAATTCTATCTTCTGTAACTTAGTATTTTAAATGAAATTTATTATTTTATTTGTTGTCATTTGAACATCATTAGATAAAAATTTTTCTATTGAAACCAAATTTTTGATGGAAGCTTATGAAGCACGAAATTCTAATTAATTTCAATACGATTCACACATAAAATTGCATATTTTATAGATTCAGTCCACTAGTTAGATTGAAATTTTTGTTTACCTATAAATATTCAGAAAATACATTAAATTAATATATCATGAAAGTATCCCTTCAATTTTTTTGAAATCTTAGCTAAACCCATAACAAAAGCTATTACTCCGATAAAAATGATTAAGCATCGAAACAGCTAGAGGTGCAAAGAAATTTCAGTGAAACAAATCTTTTTTTTTATTTAAATCTCAGGAAAAAAAATCAGTTTTTCGTCATATTAAAAATTACTTACTGTTTGTTTTTTTTCTTCACTTAGAAAAGTCAGACTGAATTGAGAAGCAAACTGAACTTAGAGTTACATATATTCTAAACTTTCTCAACATACCTTAGCAAACTAAATGAAAAAGATGTCAAAATAAGACAGTAGTGGTGAAATGTTAATCAGTTAGTGTTGCAACGAGTCAAAAATTTCTTTTTCCTTTTCTCCTCTTTATTGGATGAAGAAATGAATAACACATTTGCTAGCTTTGCCTGATATTTTATTACTTAATTTTTTTTCAGGAGCCGGTGAATGTGGCAAGTCAACCGTATTAAAACAAATGCAGCATGTTTTAATTTTTCCTTTTTTTTGAGCTATGAACTTTAGCTTGGAGTTTCTATCACAAACAAATTAATGAAATGTTTATTGATTATAAGAACTGAATAAACATACACAAAATTCTTAACAATTATTTCAAATAATTTTAAAGTGATGTTTATGTTTAGGAATATATACGTTTCTAAGAAGTTTCATATGCTCAACAAGTTACAAATTTTCAAATCTTATTTATGTGATTTAAAATAACGGAAATTAAACAAATTGTGGTTTCGAATAATAAAAAAAAAAACAGAAACAAAACCTAGGTCTCCAAAACAAAAATTAGTGATAAATTTGAATTCAAATTTGTGTAGAATTTATATGAATCATTAGTATGCTGTTTCTCTCTCTGAATGATTCCTCTTGAAGCGCTTTTAACTTTTAAATAATTCGAAAAGAATCACCCTGACCTATCAATATTGAAACATTCTCAGGATTCTTCATAGCAACGGTTTCACGGAAGATGAAATAAATGAACGTAAAGCAGTGGTTTACAATAACACAGTAACATCGATGTATGCAATATTGAAAGCAATGGATAATGTTGTTCATATTCCACTCGAGGATCCTTCCAAAGAAGTATAGCAGTATTCAATTTTCTTGTAACTTCCAATTTATAATGACTGTTAGCCTTAATGGTTGACAGTATAAACTGTTTTCGAAAGATCGAATTAATCATCCATCATGTTTTAGCTCTAACAATAGAAGATAAAGTGCTGGTTGATCAAATTTCTAGATCAATTGAACTTTATTCAGTTCAATAAATTTATTTAATAAGCATAAAGAGGACAAAAAGGATGAAAATTTATCATAGTACAATTACAATTGGCAAAGAGGAATTTTACAGCCTGAAAAACAAATAGTTTTCCGAGTTGTGGAGGCTGGCGATGAATCTGAACCATTTACTGATGAACTTGCTAAAGCTCTTGTCTCATTATGGAATGATAAAAATGTTCAAAAAGTAGCCGACATGAGAAGCGAATTTCAGCTCAACGACTCTGCAAAATAGTAAATTAATAAATGATATAATCTAAAGTTAAATTTCACAAATAATAATTAGGTTGAAAATCTCTAACTCATCGCTTAAATAGTGAATTTTCTATTGAGCATCATATGACTTCATCTCCAGTTGAGCTCATTTGTTTCAGTTTTCTGAATTCAGTGATGAGAATACATGAACCCGGTTATCGGCCTACAGAACAAGATATTCTGTTTAGTCGTGTAGCAACAACTGGTGTAGTAGAAGTTAAATTCAAAATAAAAGAACTCGACTTCAGGTATTATGATTGAAACGTATATGAATCTAAGATTAGCTCTCTCTTTTTCCCTCTTTCTTTCTCTTTCAGTTATTGCACTTTTCATTTTCAAGGATTATAATACTGAGTTTGACATAATTCCCATTATTGAGATAAGAAAGAATTGAAAAAAGTAATTGCTTATGAACAGAGTATTTGATGTTGGTGGACAGAGATCAGAACGCCGTAAATGGATCCACTGCTTTGATAATGTAGAGTCAATTATTTTTATTACGGCTGTTAGCGAATATGACCAAGTGCTTTTCGAAGATGAAACTACGGTCAGTTCACAGTGTTAAATTCAGACCTTTTTTTGTTGTGAAATTGTATGAAACTGTCGAATATTCATATTTTTGAGATGCTAAGGATAATGTCTTTCATATTGACTAAATCTTTTATTAGTAGCGCTAAACAATTCATTGTTATAAGTTGGTAATTTGGACTGATCAGACGAGTTTAAAGTCCATGGTCTCTTTTGAGGAATAATTAATCCACCAAATAATCTTTGGTTCGATTAATAAGTATTGCAGAATCGCATGATCGAATCGATGCAGCTGTTTTCATCAATTTGTAACAGCACTTGGTTTCTTTCCACGGCAATAATTTTATTTTTGAACAAAAAAGATTTATTTGCTGAAAAAATTCAACGTGTCAATATCACCACTGCCTTCCCGGATTATGAAGGTCAATCTTTTTGTGCTTAGTTCTATAAAACTTATTAATTGAAGAAAAAAAAAATGTAATTTGAGCTCTGGAATTCTCCTTCAAAGAGCTAGAGACTTTTCTTTTTATATTACCATCCAACCCCCATTTTGGATTCATTGACATTTATAGTTTTGATAATACTGGACGGAAAAATAATGCTTCATTTCCCTAGATAAATTTGTGCAGACTTACTTACAATCCATGTTATCCTTTTGCTTAGCGGAAAGAGAATTTTCAAAGTCAGGGCTTCCAAACTTATTTTATTTTTAACACTACAATAATTAAATAGAGTAAAGTTGGCTTATAAACTGTTGTGACAATGCTTTTGTTGAAAACAAAGGAAATTTTTTATTCTGAGATAACATTATTAGACAACTATGTAATACATATCACCTACATTATCATTATGCAGACTTATAGTCTTAGCTACACTTAATAAGTTGCACAGTCTTCCTACTTAACATTTACTCAACTTATAATATTCAATCCAATTAAAGTAAAGTCATCTTACTTATTACTCAGTTGCGTGCATCAAATTTTACCCATTACATTATTTTAACGAAAGCAATATTCTATTTCTTTTCGCCAGAACAAATAAAATCTTTCACACAATTTTCTAAAATTAAAAGCTTTTTTTGAGAAGACCTTCTCACATATTTCGAACAGTTTAATTCATAAACTCAAAACATTTAATTATAGCTCTATAAAAAGTAAAATTTGAATAGGTCACGAAAGAAAAAATTCCGACACACTAAAATCTTTTTCTAAATAAATTCCGAAAATTTATTTCATTTTAACAGAAAAATCGAACCACTGAAACTAGTTATTGAAAAAAAATTCCTTAGTGAGCCCAACCGCAGAATAGCTAATGCAGATGCCCTACAATAATCTTCGTCTTTTCCTCATATTTCTTTCTTTTATGGTCTTGTACTACTTTTGCTCATCAATGATACATTCAAAACATTGTTAAACATTAAAAATGATATACTCAAAATATTCAATATTAAACAAGTGGATCAGTCACAAAATTCCATAAAAGCTGGAAGCTTTTAGCATGAGATTTAACAAATGACATTGTAACAGAAGATGCTTCAACTACAGCAATCCCAAACTTATGTCCAAAGTGTCAAAATGTCTCTCTGACGAGCAAAATGATTCAATCCCAGCAGTTGAACCCAAACCTTGATAGAAACTAAAAAGCAAATAAGAGTAACATGAAGCAAATATTTTTAGGTGGTCAGAATTACGAAGAAGCAATGAGTTTTATAAAAATGAAATTCAGCGAACTGAACTTAAATCCGGACAAAAAGACGATTTATATGCACGAAACATGTGCAACAGACACCAATCAAGTGCAGTTGGTTATAACGAGCGTCATTGATACAATCATACAGAAAAATCTCCAAAAAGCTGGAATGATGTGATACAAAGACTATTCGATTCTAATTTCCCTTCGCTTTCGTTGAGCTAAGTATTGTGACGATATATTTTGCAAATAAATATAATTTCGCTTATAAAAAGGCATGCCAATTTTAGTTCCTAAAGCTTAAAAATCTTTCCATTAATATTATTGATGAATCCCACATTAATGCTTCCATAAGATCTACGAAATGAATTTCAAGGACTACATAAATATTTCATGAAGAGTGCGAACTAACGCTAAACTCTTTTGAACTATTGATTATATTCGTAACTATCAGTCAGTCTGTTACCATCAATTCCAGGATTTCCTGAGAATTTTCAACCTCTAAAACCAAAAGCTTAACAGTTGAAAAAAATTTTTCCTGACTGACTGCCTGAACAAAAAATATGAAAGTTTTCCGGCGTGCTATCTTCTTTCCATTGTTTTGGCTCAAATCAAATCCACCATCATGGCAACTTTATTAATTAGTTGAATGAGATGAGAAACTCAAAACAAACAAACAAACAAACAAAAAAGCATTTGAAATTATTTCACTGGGTGTTTCAAATCGTCTCCATCCCACGCAGCCGAATATTTCATCTAACTTTAGATTCCCTACTGGTTTATTTCCTTTTTCACTTTAGCATTTTGACATAAATGTGATTTTCTGTTTATCTCCACTTGACTCTTTGGCTTCTGCTTTTTGCTTCCGAATCTGTCGACTTCATTTTGTTTATTATTCTTTTTTTTCACTAAACCTTTTATTTTGGAAACCACATCTTTTGGTGGCAACAGAAGTCGTTTCTTAGCTTCCCGTGCTTTCTTCCTTTTTTCTCGCAGTTTGCTGAGTTTTTCCAGTGATTTTTGTAGCTGAAACACAGCACAGGATAATTTTATCGCTGATTTCTAAGATAAATAAGAAGCTTACTCGGTGAAAACTAAAAAAGACTAACCTTATCGGGGTTAGTTAACGGCTTCAGATCATCTCCTGCCTCCCACTCATCATTAGCGGTTGGATATAGCACAGGCTTCTTAGCTGCAAAAATTTTTTATAGCTTGCGCATTTTCTTGCGTACCTTGCATATTTCATAGCTTTCGTAAAATTTTAGTCAACAAATACACTTGAATCATTGATAAAAAAGTAGAATTAGGAAAAACCTAGTCTCACTGAAAATCTAATCTGAAAAACCTAATTTTCAGTCTAGAAAAGATCAAATAACTTCTCACATTCCCTTTATTTCTATGGTCATTTAAAACTGGACAAACTAACTGTCTGAATCCAGAACTTTTACTTCACCATCTCGGTACACTAAAACTTCTAAGCCTTCTGGTAAAGTCGACAGTTCATCAGCAACAGCTTCTTCGTCTCTTTTCGCCATAAGGTCCTTTCTCTTCATGGGCATGGGTAAATTGACTGCATTTCTAGATCCTAAAACAGTGAATTCATGATGAGACTTGAGAAATTTTCAAACCAACAATAAAATTATATAGAAACAGTTAATATGATGTAGCTCAATGGAAATGTTAAAGATTGCAAAGTTAACAAACATCTTAAATTTCAAAAAATTTTTAAATGCTAACCTATTCACAAAAGTAAGTGGCACTGATCAGGAAACGGGAAAATAATAAATCACTCAAAAACAAACCTGCATCAACATAGAGAGGTAATGACGGACCGCCTGTCACCATTTGTAGACTTACTGAATGAATATTGCATAAACCTCCGGGGCAGTACTGAAATACATTTTCAACTGCTGCACGTACATTTTCTACAATATGATCGATGGGATTATTGAGATTTCCAATGCGGAGACTCCTGGAACAAAACCTCACGAGACTTTTGAATTAATTAGGGATTTCGAGATCGGTTTTCTATCGTTAAGATATAATCTTGACAGCAATGAAGTCGGTGAAACACTCCAAAGCCCGATGTTTAATAATTAATAAAAAAAAATTTGATATCTTAATTAAATTTTAATGACTCTATGCCACTTTAGAAAATAATACAACTGTGGAATAAAACCATACGTTCGTGTACGAAATGGAAAAAGCGGGAATGTTACGGTGTAATAAGCCTTTTCGATTTCTTTTATCAATGATCTAGGTCGATTCACTGACAATCTCAAAGGAGTTCTGCAAAACAATTAGTCTGTATTGAAAAAACTTTATATTAAGGAAATATAATTTTCACAGTACGAATTACTAAGATGTAAGTAAAAATTCCACAGATATAAAAACTCAAGGATTTTTATGGTAATATATGAGGTAAAAAAATTTGTGATTAAAACTGTGAAAAGAGATTCATGTCTAATACTAACTAAATGAAGATATGCTAAACATGAATTTGAATAACTAAAAGAGGAGAGAAGGTCCCTTAAAAACCTTACTTTTTTGCTTTGTGGAACTCTTTGCCACAAAAACGTATGACGCTTTTCTCGACTAAAACGTCCACCAAAAAGATATCATAAGCAGATGCCAGCTGACGTCTATCATAATACGAATGATACTCTCTCTCTAGCTGTCGCTTTGTCAAAATCTCAAATATTATTTGCTTCCAGCTAACTGTTAAAAAGGATTGCCATAATACAAATGCCACTACAAATCAAACACCACCATGACAGAGCCATCTATTTCTTGGGAAGAAATTCGTTAAGACACAGATTTAATTTGTACTAGAAACTGCACTCCTTACAACATGTCAATATTTCTGTGATTCTAACGAATGAATCGTACTACTATTCAAAAATCAGAAAATACCTTTTGCACGTGCTCTTTAGTAACTCCGGATTCAAGCTCCAACCTTTCGGCCCAAATTCTTGATTGCTTGTCAACATCAGGATCAAATTTTGCCTTTGCGGATTGGTCTAAGTCTCGCATAATCAAGCAGATAGTAGTATTGCCCTTTTCATGTAATGGGTGCGGTAAAACGCTGCAGAAAAATGAAAATTGTAGTCATCGCATTCATTTAATAAACGCGACAAAGTTAATTGTCACAAAAATAAAGAACTATGAAAGTAATTTAGTAAGCTTCCTTTTCGTGAAGAATACAATCCACTTATTCAATCATCGTAATGCTATGACTTATATATATCATGTCTACATGGATCTATGTGCCATGGTGTTTGGATCATTAACAGTTTGATGTCAAAAAATTTCTAGCCTAATAGGGAGAATCAAAGTTATGATATTCGGTTATGATATACGCGGTTATGATATACGTATATCGGTTAAAAAGTATATTGTTTACTCATTTTTCAAATTATGGAAATCAATTTTTATTGTGAAATCAAGTTTTGATCAATCAAATTTAATTATGAAAATCAAGTTTAACCAGAAAAACAATCATGTTTGAACTTTGTTTTTTTTTCCAGAAAATCTCCAAAAAAAAGTTAAGCTTATCTGCAACTTTCCATCAACCAACTAAAAAAATTTACCGAAATTGATCTCACAGAGATTTCTTTTTAAAGATGAGACAAATATCCCGTATTGCCTAGTGAAAAACAACAATCGATAACTCACAAGCGTTTGACACGATGTCTAGTGTGTATGGTGCTCGGTTTCTTATAGACAAACTGAACATGGAGCAACTTATCAACTTCAGGAAACAACATTTTCTTTCCATTCTTTTCAGTGACTTTTATTAGAACATTCACGGCTTCCCTAACCTGTAATATCATTCTCTATATCATTAACATGCTGAAACACTTTCCATTAAATTTAAGGTTAGGGAGCTAAATTTTCTTAAAGTTTGTAGAAGATTTTAACAAACTCAGAAGCGCCTCGTCAAACAAAAGAATTTCCTTTCTCTATCTAAAAGTCCTTATTACTTCACAGAAACCTTTCCCAAAATGCATCATTAACATCAAGAAAGATTTCAATTAATAAAGCTCTCCAAACAATATAAAGCAAAATATATATATACCTTCTGCTCAACCTGAGTCAAGACGGCTGACACTTCAACCTCATCATTCTTATTAATTGGAATGTCCTTTCCATCATCGGATGAAACATTCACTTCCAAATCCTATAGGAGATCGAAATCAAATTTATCACTGCAGAGGAATACTTGTTTTCCATATTTATAACACAAAAGTAGAGCAATTCACAAAACAAATTTACATACCTGATCAAATAAATCTTCACCGATAAGTAGGTGCTTCATTCTGAAATCAAAAACAATTAAAACCATTGAAATTTAAGATCCCTCATTTTTACTTCCCCTTTATCTAAAATCATAATTACGTAAATATTCCAACCCTAAACAATGTGACCGAACATTCAGAAAAATATATCTGCACATCACGAAAATCACTTTAATGGGAACTCATAAGAATTGGAAATCGGTTTCAAATTAAGCTTTATAAACTTTATAATCATTGTTAAATATAAAATGAACAGACATTAGCATCTCAAATCCATATCCTGAATTTCATGGTCAAAAAAACGAGATAAGAAAATCAAAAAACAGGAATTACAAAGTTTCTAAAGAAAGTTCCTTTAAAAGCTTATCATCTAAAACAGAAGCACACAAATTAAACGAAAATGCTTGAACAAATTATGCATTAAAAAAAAAGATTATATGCATGTTAATACATCATTTATCATCCATTAAAAACCGCAATGAATACTGTTAATTACTGTACAATGTATGTCAAAAAGTATATAAAAAATACACAAATAGTTTCGCTATTCCTTCTTGCCACGTGCAAGGATATTTTTTGGGTACTGCTCTGGTTTTAAGTTTTTGACCGAATAAAGACGAACTGCTCGCTCACGTAATGAACCACCACATTTCAAACCACGCACTAAATGGAGAAATGTAGGATATTAGGTCAAAATGATATTTAGAAATAACACTAAACTGAAAATGAAGTTTGAAAATAGAACAATCTTCTAGAAAAAAACCTTTAAGAGCATGCTTTAAAAAGTCTAGCCCCAAAGACTCCAGTTTTTTTGCATCGTCATAGTCATCCAGGTTGATATCGAAATTCATTGTTTCATTACATGCCTTCTCCACGGTGG